AATGCCCCCTCCGTTCCGCTCCCCGAAACCAAAGCCGCCATGCACCTCAGTGTACCCACCTGCGGATGACCCGATATGACCATTGAAATCTCCTCCTATGAATAACCTCTCAGAAGGCGGTATACTACGAACAATCTCATCCAACTCCTCCCAAAAACGCCTCTTAATATCCTCATCCAAGCCTGCTTGCGGTGCGTACGCGCTAACGACATTTAAGGTACCCTCACCCACCACCAACTTAATAGTCATTAGTCTATCATTCACCCGCCTGACCTCTACCACGGACTCTCTAAGATGGCTATCTACCAGGATACCCACTCCATTCTTACCCCTCAGGACACCAGAGTACCACAACTTATACCCATCCACGTTTTTCGCCCTCGATCCGACCCACCTAGTCTCCTGGACACACGCTATATTAATCTTCCTCTTCTGCAGGATTTTCGCCAACTCTATGGATTTACTCGTTAGTGAACCTATGTTCCATGACCCGATTCTCAACCTATAGGCTCCCTTGCCCCCTCTACCTCCCCTGCTACCCGACCCACCCCCTGACCCCAGCCCTACACTCTGCCCCACCCGAGGACATGCCCTTATTCTATCATCCCAGACTGCAGCCACTACACCTACAACAATCTAGAGAAGACTCGCTAGTGCACAACGTACACAAATCAAACTAGAAGGAAACACGTGGTAACTAGTATCCTAGTTTAAAGGTTTAACTATTGCGAAGTAAAGTAACAGTAATTTAGCTAACACCAAAAGGGAAACAGTAAAACAGGAGGTACCAACTCCCGATAACAAAACCTGTGGCTGATTTGCTGTGCTCGATGTAGTTGTACGCTCCCGCCCACTTCCTACCACCCTTGCTGACACTCGCCCAGGTTGCTCTCCTTTGCCAGTGCTCGTGCGCCCAACTTGTCTCCAATACTCCGAGAATTCCTGAAAACACAGAAAATACCACGACCCAAAAACCCGAAGGAGCTATCACCGCTACCACTGGTATAGCCCCAACAATATAAAATGTACAAAGAAAGGAGAAGAAGAAAACAAGAATATAAGGGGGTGGGGGCAGATTTGGGACGCAAAAGGGGTGGGGCAAGAAGACCCGATACAGTCAGTTAAAAAACAGCATGTACTCCTTTAGATATGTCTACTTGAAACACCCAGAAAGAAATGACTAAAAATTTCAAGAACCGTTTCACAGTCCCTTGATATTAAAAATGACCTTCAACTTAAAGCCCAGAACAAGAAAACTATAAAACTCATTTTTTGTAACATACCAGCAAAAAAAGTTGAATTAATCCTGAAAAGTCAAAATTCTAAATAACTACACCATAAAACAACAAGAACAAAATTGATATTGAAACAAAAATATTACTACAACAAAAGGCTTTAAAATTTTATTTTAACCATGAAACAGAGTATATAGCACGCATTTTCACCAAAATATAAACATAAAACTAACACAAATATCAAGAGACCAATCTTCACACTAACACAATAGAGCATTAAAATATATCTAAAAACGGAAAAATAAGTCAAATCTGAAATGATAAAAAAAGAAACTCAAATATCAGAGTTCGATTTTGAGCAAAACCCAGAAAAGAAAATTCGACTTTGACCGAAACCCAGATGAGAAAGTTCAATTTTGAGCAAAACCCAGATAACAAAATTCGATTTTAAGCAAAACCCAGATGCTAAAATTCAATTTAGAACAAAACCAAGATAATGAAATGGAGCTTACCGGGTTTTTCAGGCTTCGATAGTGAACCAGATCTAGGGTTTCAGCAGGAGGGAGAGAGGAGAGAGAGAAAAAGGTAAATCTTACGTTAGGCCATACTCTTGGTGCAAAAAAGATTGATAATAATAATAATAATAATAATAATAATAATAATAATAATAATAAAATTATTATGTTATTGCAATTAGGCATCTCAAGGACTAGAAAACTTTTTATTTATTCTCGTAGCTCAAAAGTTCTTTCTGTATGAGGAGCTCTATTAAATATTATTCATAACCAATTCACAACGAGAGGGCTGTGTGTGTGTGTGTGTTGCTGTGGCTGACAGAGTGTGTCAGGGTTCATACAATCTTGGTAAGACTTACGTAGTTCCTCCTACAGAAGGGCGACCATACATCATCCCACTAAAGTTATTCTTTGTTTTTATAGTTTTATCATTCTTGCTATTTGGTGACTGTTCCAATGGCAATCTCCTCTTCTTGTGTATGTCTCTGATGTTCTCCCTTGTTCCAACTAATTCTCATTCATTTTACCAAGCCGAACACAATGGTGAAAATTTGTCCCTGAAGTCATTGGTCATACAGCTTGAAGTCTCTGGCTCTCAGCTCTAGTGATGTGTCTGTCCCATGTGCTTTTACACAGCATCAATTGTGTAGGACTAGAGTCATCAGTGCTCTATCTTTTCTTAGTGATATTCATGTTATCGTCAAATCATCACTAGACAATATCGTGGATTCAATGATCTGGTCAATCTCTTAGTAGTCTTGTCTGTCAACTGCTATGCATGTCCCCTGCACAGTATATCTCGTAGATTTATAATAGTACGATGGCCAAATCAGCGTCGCAGATTAAAATTATTGTGGTGTCCGTTTCTGATTGACAAACTCAGTTGCTTCACCACATCGAGCTTTTGGAGGCATGTTGAAGGTCAAGAGAATTTTGAAGAATGTTGTGTAAACTATTAGTAGTGTATATGTTTTAGTTAAAGTCAAAAGAATCACTAAGGATTTTTGTGGAAACTTCTTAAAAAAACATTTAGAATCTCAATAATTGGAAATTTTCTTTGGTTCATGTAAATCAGCTTCTTGTATGGGGAGGTTTCTTGTATGTTGTTAATTACCACTTGCAATTAAGAGTTTTCTCCCTTCTCTTTTCACAAAATGCAAAATAGCTCTCGCTCCTTTTCAAATTGAATACTCCTAAGTTTTATGATCGATTGTGCCAAAGAAAGTCCAATCTCCAAATAAAATATTTCACATGTTATTACCTGCACTTATATACTTAATGAGTCACGATCCTAAAGCAGTTTTGGTCAAAAGTATGCATCCTGTTTTAGTTTGTTAAGTATTGGTTTCCTTTCATTGCAATAGTGTTTAGGGCACAAACAATTGTTTGGGGATAGTGTTAACAGACTTCCAGAGCCAAAGGAACTAGGGCAATTCTGTTTTATTTTCTCTCTCTCCCTTTCTTTTATCGTCTAATTTTGTAAATTAGGACATCTTGTCCTCCTTGGCATTCTTCATTTGATTTCAAGTTAACTAATCTCTATGAAAAAGGAAAAGAAAACATTTTCTCATTAGCCTGCTTCAATTTGTATTCCAACTAAAGAAATTAGAACAAGGTTATCTTAAGGGAGGAGGATACAATAAGATCTTCAACTTCAAAGCCGATTAAAGCATTTTTCCGTATCTCGTTTGAATTGTTGAAGTTATGGAGGTGTTCTTCCGCGTTCTCGTCTCAACTTTGTTGTGCTTATTTGGTCACATGGCATTCAGTGATATGCAACCGGTGGAGGTGCTTGTTCTGTCCTTGCTGATAGTTCAGGATAGCATAGGGATCCTTGCATATGAATCCTGTCTGACATATTTACATTTTGGGCTGTTTTTATTTCAGGCTATTGCATCTCCTAGAGAATTTTTGCTTAACAAGGTTCCAGCTCCAATGCCTACCCCTACGATATTTAATCTGGATGCAATTGAAGCCCTTGCCACGGACAACATTGTGTCAAAAGATGGTTTGCCTTCTTATCTTATTTAATGGTTGGTTTTCTTTTGGCCATCTCATACATACGCATCCTCACCGTTCAATTTGTGGTTATTTTTCAGCTTTGACTTTTGAAGATCTAGGGCTTGCGCCACATAAAGTGAAGGGATATCCGGTTGAGTTTCTTATCCAGTATCGTAAAGGTGGACCAAATTATGGGTCAACTGTTAGTGAAAGAGTGTCTCCTGAATCTTATCCATGAAGTTCTTTGGTCTAGCATGAACGCCATTTGGACCTTATTAGGAAGATTGGTGCAGGTAGTTGTTTCCTATGTTACAAGTTCCTAACTGAGAAGTGTATTATTCTGTTCTTAATTTTTTCTGCCTGCATTGTAGACATTTTCATTGATCAATATATACATTTGTCACCAGTTATTTCAGCTTCTTTTACAAGATTTCTGGAGTACAGCCGCGACAACGGGAAAATAAATGCAAAGAGAGTTTTTCAGCAAATGCAAGTTGTGTAATGCTGAGACCTACACTCTTTTTGGGAAAGATGGAGTTGACTATGATTTTAGGTGTTTTTTGTGCCGTTGTCTCGAGGAGATTGTATTTTCTTTTTCGAGTTCACTTCTGTGTTCTCCCTTCTGTATTTCACCTAAGTAGTAACCAAGAAAAGTTGGAACATGATTGTAGTGTCAGGGTAAAAAAATATTATTTCAGTGTATTCCTTCTGTCCAACTTTTGCCATTGCTGTTCTTCTATTTGGCTGTTCAAATAACCGTGTAAGTCTCCTAAATAAACAGAATACATACTTAAATCCTTTACAATGCCAATGATGTCTTCCTGGTGGGAAATGTTTTTCTTTTCAGCCTATGTAGATGGGAAGTGCAGCCATTTTTCATGAACATTTATTTATGCGTCTTGTGCGTTCGACAACTAGTTTAAATCTGAACGTCAGATGCTTCACTATTTATACCTTTAGCCTGTATTCTCTCATCAGATGTGAATCCTGGAAGAAAGTATTGATAAGAGTGTTGATCAAGTTATTCCAAAAGGAGCATATGCTTTTCTTGTTGATTTAGGAAACTACTTTGCAGTTCATCCTGCAATATAAAACAGTCTAAAATTAGTGACCATTTGCTTCTGCAAAGTAGAGACAATTGCTATCTCTTGTATTCATCGAAAGAACTCTTCATGTCAGCTGAAAGCCGATCATTCGAACATGTCAAATTGGAAGGAAGAAACGTAGGTGCGACGATGGTCGCACGTCGTGGTGGCTGTCCCGGTGAATCACTTGGCTGCTGCTGCATAAACATCTACATAAGCAATAACATTCAGGGAGTCAATAATTCCATCTTGGTTGGCAGCAAGGTGAAGATGGGGGATCCAGGTGTATGCTTTTCCATGAAAGATGTGAAATTTGATAGAGGGTTTCGACAGGGGAAGAAGAGGGACAAGAAGATAAAGGGTACACATCTACTAATCTTATTGATGTTGCTATTCGCGTTTGTTGCAATTTTGTTTCTAGTGTCATGTTTAGCCATGTGATCTATTCCTTTGTTGGCTTGGGGGTTGTCCGTAGGGCCCAGATATAATTCGAGTTTTGTAGGTTCAACTAAATTTATTGCTTTCGCTTTATATATAGACAAATACTAGATCTTGAATTCGTATGTGGACTCACTTGTCGACATCATAGTTGGTACTGAAAATCAATCTACAACCAAGTTTTTTCAGTTACCATGTGCTCATGCCTTCTTTGTGTTCGTGGGGCAAATTGGATCTGGTTTCTGTCTCTTTCTCTGTGTTGAAAAACTTGAAATTTTCAAGAGAGAGAAATTGTTCCAAAGATAATATCATGGCTGATCAATGAGCCTACCAGATTACGAATATCATTAAAGGAATAATTAGTTTCTGCTGTAGGGGACATTACTAGCTAGAAAGGACTTAACCTTTGCTCCACGGGAAGCACGTGTCATCTGTGTTCTGTGGAGAAAAAAATACGTGGCTTATATTATCAGATGAGCCCAAAATTTTCGATAGAGAGGCAAAGGAAAAGACAAGGGTTGGTGTGAAGAGGAGCAGTGTTCGGGGTGGGGGATGAAAGCACATGTTGGCTTTCGAAAGAGTAAAAGGCACAATACTATTACACACCAACTCAAAATTTTAGGTAGCGTCTTGACATGGATTTGATTGTAACCTGATTTTTTTTTGGTATGTTACGTTGAATTATTATTATTATTTTTTTTTTCAAAAATTGATTATATTCCATGAATAAGTAATGTTTTTAATTTTTTTTTGAAAAAAAGTAACCAAAATCTATGGTCAAACCGAAGCTTAATTTTTTTTAAATATTTGCTGTCTGAAATCAGCCGAACCGACTCATAGTGACAGTGCATCTAACGGCGGTAATTGGGATAAAACTCTTGTTATCAGTGGCAGAGCGTCCACCACTTTTGTTTAAGGCGTTAATTGACACTTTTTCGGCGAAAATTTAGATTTTGTACCTATTTTTTTTTCTTCTTTTTAGCATATATACTATTCCTGTTGAATCCTCTTGGATGTTTTATATATTTATTTTTTTATATTTTAATTTTTCTTAGTAAATATTTTGCTTCCGCCAATACTTGATATATGAGGTAGAGAAAGACAACACAATTAAAAAAAAAAGGAGAAGAAGGATGACCATTACATGTTTAATTCCTTGGATGGTCATTCAAATTATAATAATATCCAACTAAAATCATTTTGATCTTTTTAGAACAAAAAAGTCATTCAATTATTACTTTTTGACTCAGAAAATACAAAGCACATATTTTCATACCATGTCATACCAAAACCTTATTTGTTAGTAATTCTCATTTAACTCATGACCTTTATAAATAACTAACCTACCCAATAAAAAAATATGAGTCAAATATGACATGACATATAAAATATGTGCTTTTTATTTTTTAAGTCGCAAGATAGTAATAGTTTAAGTGACTTTATTGTCCTAAAAAAAAAATAACTTCGATAGGATATTCACACAAGTAACGTGAATGAATGATCTCGATGGCTACACTAGTCTTTCCCAATAACCTCCAAGACAAGTAAGGTGTGTGATGCTCAACATCCAGAAAGGTATATAACTACACACCCATGTGTATAAAGTTCTCCTGCCCGCTTTCCTTGAAATCTGAGCTCTAATTCAATGTCCACAACTACATACCACCCTCCTTTCTTACTCCATAACCCAATTTAGTGCTATTTTTTTTTTAAATATTGAACCTATTAAGTTTAAATTTTAAATCCGCTATTACTGATGTAAGAAGACAAATAAAACAACAACATACCTAAAATAGCGTGTACACAGACCTTACCCCTACCTTGTGAGGATAGAGAGGTTGTTTCCAATAGGCCATCGGCTCAGAAAAGCATAAGCACCACAATAATGAAAATATAGACAAGGGACAGTACCAAAAAGACATATAAAAGCAAAATAAAAACATCAAGACAGTAAGGTGATCAAACAATGAAAGAAAATAACGGTTGGTCATAAAAACCTACTACCAACAAAAAGCGAAACTGCGTGTCAATACTACTGTTATGAACACTCTAGACTACCTACTATACTACTCTAATCCTTGACCTACATACCTTTCTATCAAGGGTTATGTCCTCGGTCAGCTGAAGTTGCGCCATCTTGCCTAATCACCTCTCTCCATCTATTCTTAGGCCTACCTCTACCTCTTCGTAGGCCCTCCAATGTCAACTTCTCACACCTCTTCACCGGGGCGTCTATGTTCCTCCTCCTCACATGACCAAACCACCTAAGCCGCACTTCCCACATCTTGTCCTCAATAGGAGTCACACCCACATTGTCGCGAATAATCTTATTTCTAATCCTATCTAACCTGGTGTGCATGCACATCCATCTCAACATCCTCATATCTGCTACCTTCATCTTCTGGACATGAGCGATCTTGACTGGGTAACACTCAAGCCAATACAAAATCGTTGGTCTGACTACCACACTGTAGAACTTACCCTTAAGTTTCGGTGACACCTTCTTGTCACCCAAAACACCGAAAACGAATCTTCATTTCATCTATCCCGCCCAATACGATGTGTGACATCTTCATCAATCTCCCCATTCCCCTGAATAATAGACCCAAGGTACTTAAAACTCCCTCTCATAGGGATGACCTGCGAGTCCAGCCTCACCGCCCCTTCCCCTACTTGAGTCTCGCCACTGAACTTACACTCCAAGTATTCTGTCTTGGTCCTGCTCAACTTGAAACCTTTAGATTCCAGATTCTGCCTCCATATCTCGAACTACACATTCACACTGTCTCGAGTCGCGTCGATCAATACTGTCACGACCCAAACTGCCATGTTGTGATGGCGCCTATCGTTGTACTAGGCAAGCCAACTCTTTATAAAAAACAACACAATATTTCATCTTAAATATAAATTCAGGCTATTTAATAATAAAACTCCATAAGAAAAATTCTAAATAACAAAAATGTGGAAAGAAAAACCCGACATCGGGGTGTCACTAGTCATGATCATCTACTACAATTTGTCCAAAAATACTGAGACTAACACGGTCTGGAAAGTAACTACAAATAACTATAGAGAGATATGAGGGAGAAGAGCAGGGCTGCGATCGAAAGCAATTACCTTGCTAACTCCAAGAAGATCTATAGCTGGAATAGTCAACAGCCACTACCGGGTCCTGATACACCTGGATCTGCACACAAAGTGCAGGGAGTAACTTGAATATGCCAACTTAGTAAGTAACAATAGTAAATAAAGCCTGAATAGTAGTGACGCGCAATAAAACATTAGAAGTTCATATTATGAAAGTTCACCAAAATACATCAGGCTTTTAAAATCAGGTTTTTGACCAAGTCATCTCATTTAAACCCAATTTTGGTAAAAATCATTTAAAGATATTTTTTAACAGTTGTCAACAAAATCTCAATGCAAAGGTGAGCAAAATTATGAAATCATAAACTACCCCTCGGGCAAAACATCACTCATATACAATTCCTCGGGCAAAACTCACAGTCACTCGTATACAGTCCCTCAGGCATACCTCACCATCACTTATGCCTTCCAGCCAGTCAACACTCGCATTCAGTAGGTACCTGCGCTCACTGGAGGTGTACAGACTCTAGAGGGGCTCCTTCAGCCCAAGCGCTATAACAAGACAACTCGTGGTATAAATCAATTAGGCCCTTGGCCTCACTCAGTCATGAATCAGTAAAACATGCTGCGGCGTGCAGCTCGATCCCATAAATATTCTCACAAATCAGGCCCTCGGCCTCACTCAGTCATAAATCTCTCAAGCCACTCGGGCTCTCAGTAAAAATAGGGTACTTAGCCCAAAACAACATTTATATGCATCAAAACAGAGTAATAAAGACTGAGTTATGAAATCAATAAGTATAACATGACTAAGTATGGATTTTCAATCGAAAACAATGAGAGGATAACTATAAAAGACCTCTAAGGTCCAAACAACACTGACATAAGGCCTAAACATGACATCCAGTCTGATTTACAAAAATTCTTTCTAAACAAGTGAGAAACATGTAGTTTCAACAAAATATTCAACTTTACAGTAGATACAGGACGAACCAAGTCACAATCCTCAACGGTGCACGCCTACACACTCGTCACCTAGTATGTGCGTCACCTCAAAATAGTAAAACGATACGAAATCCAGGGTTTCATACCCTCAGGACTAGATTTACAATCCTTACTTACCTCAAGCCAATCAAATCCTACTATGCGATGCCCTTGCCTCTTGAACCGGCCTCCAAATGCCTCGAATCTAGCCATAAGCAATTCGATACAATCAACACAAGCCAAAGAAATCAATCCCATAAGAAAATACTAAGTTTTAGGTCAAAAGTCAGAAAGTCAACTCAAAATCGGACCCCGGACCCACGTCTCTAAATCCGACAAAATTGCAAAACTCGACAACCCATTCAATTATGAGACGAACCATACTAGTTTCACTCAAATTCGACTTCGAATCAGCTTTCAAATCCCAAAAATTGATTTTTATGAAACACCACCATTTTTTCCAAATTCCATCCCAAATCACGAATCAAATGATGAATTCAATGATATATTCATGAATATTATCCAAAATCGAGTTAGAATCACTTATCCTGATGAATTTCTTGAAAAACTCTCAAAAAATTGCCTTAAACCGAGCTCCAGCCCAAGATGTGAAATCAAACCTAAAGCCTCGCTTATATAGTGTATTTAAACCTTCAGTGTGCGGTCCGCATAATCTTGCCGCAGCCACGGGTCCTGAGACATTTTCCTTTCGCGGTCCGCATAAAACTCACTGTGGCCGCACACCCCTGACCGTGGTCCGCACCAATTTTATGCGGTCCGCACTTCCAAGACAAGATACCAGATATCAGAGATCTGCCAACTTCCAAAGCCAACTAATGATTCGATAACCACCCGAAACTCACCCGAGGCCCTCGGGACCTCAACCAAGCATACCAACACATACCATAACACCATTCAAACTTAGTCAAACCTTCAGATCACCCAAAACAACATTAAAACACCAAATTACCCTCGGATTCAGGCCTAAGAACTTCTAAACTTCCAAATTCTGTAAACGACGCCAAAACTTTTCAAATCACGTCTGAATAACCTCAAATTTTGCACACAAGTCAAGTATGACACCACAAACCTATTCCAACTTCCGGAATTCCATTCCGACCCCAATATCAAATTTTCCACTGCCGACCGAAATCTCTAAATTTCCAACTTTCGCTAATTCAAGCCTAATTCCACCACGGACATCCAAATCACATTCCAGACGCGTTCCAAAGTACCAGAATCACCTAACGGAGCTAACTGTACCATAAAATTCACATCCGTGATCGTTTACACATAACTCAATATCCGGTTAACTTTTCCAACTCAAAACTTCTAAATATGAGACTAAGTGTCTCATTCCACTCCAAAACCATTCTGAACCCGGACCAACCAACACGATATGATAAAAATATTGATGAAGAACACATAAGGAAGAAAAAATGGGGGAAACAGGGCTGTAACTCATGAAACGACCGACCGGATCGTTACAAATACAATATCATCTGCAAATAGCATACACCACGATATCTCCCCTTGGATGTGGTGCGTCAGTACGCCCATCACCAGAGCAAATAAAAAAGAACTGAGTGCCGGCCCCTGATGCAACCCTATCATAATCGAAAAATGGTCCGTGTCTCCACCCACCGTCCTCACTCGGATCTTTACTCCATCATACATGTCCTTTAATCAACCTAACGCAGGAAATAAGAACACCTCTAGTTTCCAAACATCTCCACAAAACCTCCTTCAGAACTTTATCGCACGCTTTTTCTAAGTCGATGAACACCATATTCAAGTCCTTCTTTCTCTCCCTATTCTGTTCCATCAATCTCCTAACAAGGTGGATGGCTTCTGTAGTCGAACGCCCCGGCATAAACCCAAATTGGTTCTCGAAAATAGACACACTCCTTCTCACCCTTAGCTCTACCACTCTCTCCCAAACTTTCATAGTATGGCTAAGCAACTTGATACCCCGATAGNTGCTTCTCTTGATTTGGTTGATTGGCTACAAAAGAGGCCAGAGTGGAGTATCATGGGGGGAAAAGATCACTTTCTTGTAGCTGGTAGGATAACATGGGATTTCAGAAGATTGAGCGATTCAAATTCGGACTGGGGCAACAAGCTTCTTTTCTTACCCGCTGCAAAGAATATGTCGATGCTCGTTGTTGAATCAAGCCCATGGAACGCAAATGATTTTGGTATCCCATATCCGACATATTTCCATCCAGCAAAGGATGCAGAAGTGTTCAGTTGGCAGGACCGGATGAGGAAGCTGGAGAGGAAGTGGCTTTTCTGTTTTGCTGGTGCACCACGTCCCGGAAACTCTAAATCGATCAGGGGGCAGATCATTAACCAATGCAAGGAATCTAAAGTCTGCAAGTTATTGGAATGTGGTCAAACAGCGGAGAGCAAATGTCATTCTCCCGGCAGTATAATGCAGATGTTTCAGAGCTCCCTTTTCTGCCTGCAGCCTCAGGGAGATTCATATACAAGGAGGTCGGCTTTTGATGCTATGTTGGCTGGTTGTATACCTGTCTTTTTCCACCCGGCTTCTGCCTACACGCAGTATACATGGCATCTCCCGAAAAACTACTCAGCCTTCTCTGTTTTGATTTCTGAGAATGATGTTCGTAAGAAGAATGTAAGCATAGAGGAAAGGTTAAATCAAATTTCTCCTGAGAAGGTGAAGGAAATGCGGGAGGTGGTTATAAGTATGATTCCAAGGCTGATCTATGCCGATCCTCGCTCTAAATTGGAGACTCTCAAAGATGCATTTGATGTGGCAGTTGCGGCGGTTACCAGTAGAGTTACAAAACTAAGAAGAGACATCATCGAAGGTCGTAAGGATGATAACTTTATCGAGGAGCTCAGTTGGAAATATGCATTGCTGGATGAAGGGCAACGTGAGATTGGACCTCATGAATGGGATCCATTTTTCGAAATACCAAAAGATGGAAGTGCAGAATCTGATAGTTCATCAGCAGAAGCCGCTAAAAACTCTTGGAAAAACGAACAGGGACAAAATACATGATGTGGGTTTTTCTTCTTCTTTGACAGTCTACCACTCATCGCCATGACTTAGAATGAGAGAACTGGCTACACATGAAGTTTAGCTTCAGAGTAGAATCAACCTTTTGATGAAATTATAAGAACTTTGTGCAAAGGAAAACATATAGTAATACATTATCCTGCGTCTAATATAAATGCTGTTGCTGTTTTATCCAATTCTATGTTATTCGTTAGTCAGTAGTAGCAATAAAATCCATGTCAATACTTTTGATTACCAAATTATGTCTACTCAATTAGGAACTTCTGTCATTTGATATTGGTGTTATTTCAGTCATGCCTTTTAGTTAATTGTTGGGACAGATTGCCAGGTTGAATAAGCTTCATTTTGGCTTCTGTTAGATCATGTTGGCTATAAGACAGTGGGTACTATAAACGCGTATTGCGATAGTTGTTGGAGAAGAATTACGGTGTATATTTTTGTGGTTTGTGTAGTTGGTTCTTAGATTTGTTGGTTATCTTGCAGCTGAAGTTCTGGATATTTAATAATCTGGTGTGGAGCAATAGGTATGCTGCCCCATGTAAAAGTTTGTTTATACTGATAAGTAGTAATATTTTTTCTCCTTGTTGTGCCATACTCTGTTATTTAACTGCATAAAAAGGCAATATCTTTCCTGCCTGGTAAGAAGTTGGTGTCAGTCCATCTTAAGAAAAGAACTTGCATATTCGTCGATCTCATATGAACTGAATTATATTTTGCTGCAATGTATGTGATGACTATTCTGGAAGCAACACCGAAAGTGCATAACATTCAGTTTACTTGGTACCTTTGCTAGTGCGAGGTAGCAGGTATTGGTGGAGTAGTCGAGATGGGTGCTTATTTAAAAAGTGTATAATATTGAGATACATTCTCATAGATCTTTCTTGCTTTATTAGTTTTTTCAATGTTTGTGCATGTATATTTGATTGTACTTTCAAAATGTGATATCATGAATGATAGAAAAGTTTGGTCATCGTAGGAGGATGACATGGAAATTCGGCCGTGTGGGTCCAAAAGCTACGCAATGTACAAAAACAAAATAGATGAAGAAAGAAAAGTGGTTGCAACTAGCAAGGGTTAGAATGAAGCAGCTGTGATCATGTTATATGACTTTGTAAACCAGCTAATGGTTACGCACATAGTATAGTATAAGAAAACATTGAGCTTATACCACCAAAATGGCTAACGTAAGAAAAACGAGTGAAGACTTGCCTATTCTGCCGTGTCACCTATCAATCAATATGACCATATATTCAGCAATACTATTACTCTATTAGTCTTTAGTTGCAGTTGGCTCCGTCAGGAGATTACGATTTACATTCCTAACGCGGTCGCAGTGAAGGATGGCTAGTTTAGCTGATTTTTCCACATACACACACACAAAGTGTAGGAGTTCCAGCTATATGACTCCCAAAAGAACTATAGAAAAAGGAAAAGGAAATATAAACAAATGGTTTTAAATGCGAGATATAACTGTACGATAAGCACAACTGTATAGTTACGTTATGAAAATAAACAAACGGAGGTATGACTTTGGTTAAAATAGCACGGTTTAGCCAGTTTTCGGACTGGTCATTCAAAAATAGCTAGCATTTGCCAAGTTATTGAAAAATAGCCACTATTTTGCTGCAACAGAGACCAGTCCAACATAATATGCTGGAGTTCGATGCACTTGTGTATGAACTTCCAGCATATTATGCTGGACCGGTATACTTTGCTGGCTCCAGCATAATATACTGGAGACTGGAGCACCGGTGCTCCAAACTCCAGTATATTATGCCGGACCGGTATATTATACTGGAACTCCAATATATTAGACTGGAGTTCTAGTATAATATACTGGAACTCCAGTATATTATGCCGGACCGGTATATTATACTGGAACTCCAATATATTAGACTGGAGTTCTAGTATAATATACTGGAACTCCAGTATATTATGCTGGAGTATTTTTCCTAATTTTGAACAGTGTATTCGTTCAGATTTATCTTTACATGAAAAGTAACTAAATTTCGATTACTTTTGAAACTGTGACTATTTTTGAATGACCACTTGTAAATCCGGCTATTTTTTAATTTCTCCCATGATTTTGACTTTAGCAAATTGCGGCTATGACCTATTCTTCAACTCCGTGTTACCTCAACTCATTCTGACATAAGTAGAAATTATACCCATATTTAATCCACCAAAAATTTAATCAAATACACCCATCTGACAATCATAATGCGGGCACATAAAATACCAAATAAAAACAACAACAATTATGCATGAGTCCCAAACAAATTGAAGTCAGCGATATGAATTCTCATTCCTTTCTTTAAGCTCAACTCTTATTATCATCATTATCAAAATAAAATTACTTAATTAAAATAAATAAATAAAAGTTCTCTACTGTAAGGCCCCGTAAAAGTTCGCCAGGGATCTAAGGTTTTATAGTGCCAAGGACAAGCTTAATGAATATAATGCTATGGTTGATGTTGCCACATGTTTGTAATACCTTATTGGGTTATGAGATGTGTTATTGGTTTCTGTGGCTCTTTGACAGGTGGATAGGCCTGAATACAAAGAAAATTCTGTTGAAATTTCTGGAAATCTGAGAAATTAGCCAAAATCCGAGAACAAAATCCGAGACATTGGTGATTGAGTGAGGAGCTAAGTCATGCTCGGTGTCTATAGCAGACTCTAACCCTCATTCGAAGACGAATGATCCTAAGCGGGGGACAAAGTAGGCCCCGTAAAAAATCGCTAGGGATCTAAGGTTTTATAGTGCCAAGTACAAGCTTAGATATTCGGAAGGTTGTAGGATAGCTTGTCGCGTACTGATTTGTGGATTGCCCAATGCATCACGAAGTGGGCAGGAGAATCGGCTTGAGAGGATGATTTTGTGGTAAATTATGTGGACCGCAAATCAGCTCCGTTGACCGTAGAATCATCGCAGAATGGGGTCAGAAGCATGCCAATTTTGGGGGTATTTTCGCAGTGGATTATGCGAACATATATTAGTTTCATTGACCGCAAACCCGCAACGGAAATGGTCAGGCCACATGGAAATTTTTTGAAGGAGGATGTGCTGTCCAATATGCGGACCGCAGAATAGAAGTGCGAATCGCAAAATCACCCCAGATCTGACCAATTCAATTCAAAAATTTGGAGGACTATTTCGCGGACCGCAAAAGCGTTATATCGTCCTTTTCACGAGTGTAGATCTGTTTTGAAAGGGGTACTTTTGGAAAAAATTTATTCAATTTTATTTCTAATATAAGGCTTGGAGAGTATTGTAGAAGAGGATTTTCATCTATTTTGAGAGAGAGAATAGTTCTAGAGAGAGAAGGAGGAGCTCCAACACTTTTACACATCAAGAACTTAACTCGATTCTTGGAATTTAAAGACAAAATTTACAAGGTCTTTTACTATCAAGGTAAGATTCCATCCCTATCTCTCATGCAATCTTCAATAATGGAAATGTTAGATAAAAATCGGAGCTTATAGGATATTGATTGAAATCCCTAAGCTACCAATCTTGAGTTTGGGTATATGGAGAGTAGGAATAAGGTGTTATTTGATGAAATTATTGGGTAGGTGTAATTTGGATGACCATGCATGTGTCATTGAATGTCACATACTACCCAAGGGTGAACGTCTTCATAGAAGGGGGAGTTGGGAGTGAAGAAACACCATTACTAGAGGTGGAAAGGGGCTATGTCCTCTTGGTATTTGATCACATACCTAAAAGACTTAAAAAAATAATAAAGAAACCCTCTCTAGTGTTGGTTCAATTGAACTTCGGTGATGTTGATTGAAGTATTACAAGTAGTGGAACATAAGGAACCCTAAGGAAGCTCGATTAAGGTATGTCTGACTAAGCTCTTCCCATAGAATTGGATTCCATTCTGTATAAACTCCAAGTATGTTTTGTTTAAGTTCTCATTTCCCCCCGTTTAAATTACTTCAAATGGTTGAATTACCAAGTGCTTATGATTCGATTCATGTTACATTTGCTATCATTGTGCTTTCCTCTTTGAAATTTATTTTAATTGTTTAAACTTTCATGTACTTGTGTGTTTGTAGCTATGACTTTCCAATGTTTTAAATACATTTTTATGATTTTCGAAAATCCATGGCATGTGAGTGAAATAAAAGAATGAAGATGGTATGTGTCCACTTTTGCCAAGAATGAGAAAGATGATGTATATCCAAAAGTGACGATAAAAAGAAATGTATTATGAAATGCTTTAAAGAAATATTTTTGGGACTATTATTATGTAATCCCAAAGGTATAGATTGCAAGGACCTATGCCCGAAACTACATATTCCAATCTTCCATTGGGAATGAGTCCTTCGCACTATGATGAGATTATGCCCCTTAATTGGGATGACTATATTTCTAACAAAGTTACGTCGATGCACACGGTATTGTGGTGATAGGGCTGAGGTGGAATGTCATACCGTGCACATGATGTTTATATGTTCCTATGTCGGTAATTAATACTCTCCCAAATAAAGTGTTAATGTTTATTTGGAGGTTTTACTTATGTTACACTTTTTCCTTATACTTTAACATATCATATTCGTTTCCATTAATTTTCTCCATATTCTCACGTGTTCTCTCCTTATGTTAACATTCTATTTTATGTAAGGATACTTAGCTTTACATACTAGTAATATTCCATATGTACGAACGTCTCCTTTTGCTGGGAATGCTGCATCTTTATGGATGTAGGTGGTACCTTAGCAGGTGGCACATATTCTTGATAGGATTGTACCCTCTCTTCAGTTGATTGTGGTGAGCCCTACTCTATACCAGGGCCCTCATGTTGTATCTTGATATTTTTATATTATTTTGGGTATGGTCAGGGCCTTGTTACGACACTTTCTTACTTTACTCATGGCATCTTAGAGGCTCTACATAATTATTTTGTCATTTTACTTCCACTTAAAACTGTGGGCTTGTATCAGAACCTCAGGTTTTAAAATATCCTAGGATGTCTCGGATCCATGTCTAGTAGAATCTTTCTTATCGATGTGTAGACAACCACATCTATAAGTAGGAGGTTACTTGGGAATTTAGGAACATTACCCTTCTTCGATACCCTAGATCGTGCGATAGAGCTTGACCATAAAACTGTCTTTATAACTCTTGCATTATTTTAATTTTTAGAATATGGTCCCTAAGAAAAAGGCAAAGAGTACCCAAAGGATAGGTGCCACCCCAAGAGTGGCAGTTAATGTAGTGCCCGATGGTACGAGTATGCAGACAAAGAGGGAAGGCACA